TTTTCTGTGGTTTTGAAACCCAAATCCAGTTGGACAAAACTTCTCGAAAGATCGATGAGATCTGATTGTCGTTCCACGTACACTTGGATAGGAGTAATACTAGATGTCTGAGGTGGTATTTTGACATATCGGTACTTTACCGTAGAAAGATCTGTAGGTGGTATTCTAAAGAGATCTAGACTTGAATTCTGCTCTGCCCCTTTGATAGACATGGTGATGTGTCTGTTTCAACGTCTTCTGCGTTTATGCACAGTTGTCGTGTTCCTATTTTCTTTATAAGACTTGTGAGAAATCCTCCTCGTTGCTGTTATTTTCTTCTTCTCCCTTTATACCTTTTTAAGATGGAGGACACAGGATCTGTCGGTGATGCTGTGCCTACACCAATGATAGGATCACTTTGACGTACGGTGCTGATGCAGACCATGTTTTATTCTCCAAAAATATCGTTCAACCTCTTGGCAACTTTTCTCTTCAATTCGTTCTTGAGCGCTTGGGAAGCCCCTCTCTTTATACCTCGCGGCACTTCTGATAACGAACGCTTTTTGACACTGCTTTTAAGGCCTCCTGCTACATCTTTCAAAAAATCTTTAGCCATGTCTTTGACTCCGGCATCTATTTGAGGATCACCCCAGGTTCCGATAAAAGGCGGTGGGGCATAAGGTGAGGGGGTCTGCCAGCGCATGAGACCACCACCTCCTTGTTCATTTGGCACATACAGTTTAAAGCGTCTCAAACTTCCTCCTCTCATAATGCGATCACCGCAAACACACAATTCACTTTAAATCTTTTTTATTAATCCAACTGTTATATTTGCTAAGGTACCCTTTCCACTTGACAAACAATTTATCCTTTTGTCTCTTTAATACTTTTTCCACTCGAAAATAGGTCGCTTCATCTACATGTACTTTTTGCAAATCCCACACATAAAATGTGCCTTGTAAGGGCGCGTCATCCAATTCTTGCACTTTATAGGTTACCATTCGTTACCATTCCGGGTACGACTTTACGAACTTGAAACACTTCTTCCGTCCATCCTGGTAGATACCCTTTCTTAAACGGTCTAAATTTTTTATTCAATCGGACTTTATCGCCTACTTTAAATGCAGGCTTTTTTTCTTTCTTAGTCTGATATTTCCCATACAAATTGTTCCACACTTCTTTGGCATTGAATGTGGTGACTTTAGCTGGTGTGGTTTTAATACTCCTGTGATAGGTGCGATTGTATTGATTGACAAGTTTGGGCAATATGTCTACATATTTGAGTGTGTTGGCAGCCGTGAAATAGCGATACAATTTCGATTTAAGGGTTCTTTTAAATCGTTCGACGATACTGGCTTTGGCATCTCCATGAGTAGAAAAGTGATAAATCTCCTGTGTTTTCATCAATGATTGAAAGGTCTGATTGTAAAATTCTTTGCCTGCATCTGTCTGTAACGTCTGAGGTTTCCTTCCTTTGGCTTCCTTGAGTATTTTTGCAAACGCATCCGTCACATCTTTTCCTGTTTTCTTTTTAATCGGCCGGGCCCACGCGTATTTGGAAAAGGCATCGATCACGACCAATACGTATCGGTATCCCTTGTTCTGTTTGGATAGGGTCTGTACTTCGATTAAATCTGCTACCCATTGTTGATCAATGTCGAACACCACCACAGGTAAAAATTCTCCTCGTCGACGTTTGGGTTTGTGAAGCGTGTACGCCAATTTTTTCTCTAATTCTTTTTTACCTTGAGCAATAGAGATCTTTTGAGCTTTGGCATACGGTGCCACACCACCCAAACTACCGACGACACCGGGTTCGTCATACAAGTCGTCCTTGACATCTTTCTTAATGTTCTTAACCATGAAAAATGACACCAAAGTTTGAAACAATGGTAGGTGACCCAATACTTCTGAAGGTACTGCGTATACAACTGATTCCACGTCTTATATGTATACTTCCCATCATAGTATCTCATAAACGTCATCAAATGAAAGATACGGTCGTGTAGTGGATGTAGGTGTGGTTTCACGACAAATTTAAACACCTCAACTTCCATGTCTTCGGGAACCCATTGGTAAGGGATTTTATGCGGCTCATCCTCTTCGAAGACGATATGTGGGATGCGATCACAAAGCCACGACACCACTCGATAATGCAAGTAGCATAGCCATTGACTCCACGAGGTAAGCATGATGAACTCGTGGTTTTTTTTCATCGCCGACCCTTTTTATAATGCTTGACATTATCCATAATGCCTTTTAAAGCCTGTTTTCCCAGAAGTTTACCAAGTGTTCCAAAACCTGGTGCAGGACCCGATAACAACATACCTGCTGCGTAAGCTAATTTATCGGTAAGAGAGGGACCTCTACGAAGAATTTTCTTAACCCTACTCACAGAAGCACCCCCAGGTTGATTGCGTTTTCTTCTTTTAATCAGTGACCGTCTCACACGCCTCATGATTGACACAGACAAATGACACAGTGTTTTTGGTGATACAATTTTTATTTATTTATCCATATT